CCGTCCTTGAATGCAGCAGCTGTGAGGTGTTGTAGTCCGCGAAGTTTCCAAAATGTAACGTTATCTTTTGTTTTGAATAATTCGCATAGACGCGTGTTTATTCTGGTTCGTTGTATTTCATATTTCTCTGGTGATGTATGCCGCGGTCTGTATCGCTGTATCGCTGGAACAGGCTACCAACTCTCACCCGGCATACTTTCTCTACAAACATAGCGACAACGTCACATGTCATCTGGGTCTGATGTCGATGTCGTTTCCTCCAATCTGTAGGAACACCCGGTCGACATCAAGATCACGGATCTTCTTCGATAGTAGAAGTATCCTGGTTGTTGCCCCACGGATTCCTATCAGCTGGACATCGGCGGATTGCAGGTGAGAGTTTTCAGCCATCCTGGCAATGAAGCTGTGTCCAACGATTGCGAAACGCATGATGATGTTTACAGGTTTACTTGTTGATTTACTTGAAAGAGAGAGTTGTGTCGTGTCGTTCGCGTGAAAGTCTTATCACAACATAATTACCGTTTGTATTGTCCATATAGACACGGGCACGAGACAGTAATTATCTTATTATAATTATCTATCATCTTGCCCTAGTAAACAAACGGCGTGTCCCGTGTATACCCCCGCAGGGTAGGTTCACCGCCCAGATGTTATATACGCCCACACATTTATTGTCAGGTGTTAATGGTTTATTGTTTATTAGCTAAAAGCCTTGCGGCTCATAGGCATAGTATAACAATATTTATACAATGATATCAATGACATAGAATAATCCTATAGAATAATATGGATATGAATATTCTAGTCAATTACCCTCATAAAATGAAGCATAGGCATTATATGTATGGCATAATGCGATAACATTATACTATTAAAATATATCTTTAAAGTTGAAAATGGATAGTAAATATGATATGTCATTATAATTAGCAGGGGTGCACTAAAAAAACATATTTTAAGATAAGGTTAATATTCATTTTGGTAACTTGACCGTGTTGTCAGGATTGATTATAAATGGACAATATATAGTAAATCACGTAAAACCGAGTGGGAGATAGTCAATATCTTGTACAAACTTGAAATAAGTTAATAATTGTACATTATATTAAGGAATGCCGCATGTATTTCAAAATATATACATTATAGTCATCAACGAGTTTTACATTCGAGCCTTTCATACAAAAATGAATATCCTCGGCGCACAAAGACCAATGTCCAACTTGTTACAAGTATAATTTACACCAATAATTAAGAATCATTCCATTATAGATTTTGAAACTTTGCTTATACATAATTGTTGATGATATTGATAAAAAATGACATCTATAAATACTTTACATATGTCACATGGACTAAGAAATACAATACTGTATCAAATTACGGGTGCGTATACATATATATATACCGTTTAGTGATGCGTATTTCCGAGCGGATAGGTTGGTACCTTTTTGTTGCTTGGAGTATTACACAATATTTATACAAACCAGTAGCCGTATGATAATCTATAAACTTTATAAACGGACGATGCTTCGGGATATCTTCTCAAGAGTCATGATGCAAGTCGACGAGTGCCCCGCCCCGCAATTCAGCATTAAGCCGATAATTACCTGAGGTGCTTGCGATATGGGGGAGGGGTGACACTTATTAGATAATTACCGACAAATACCTGGTTATGTCACTGATATTGGACAGGTGCGCGACTGATGTGATAATTACCTATAAGTATCTAGTTCAATCGAGCGGGGACAAATGTCACGCCTGCACTCGTTAGTTCACTCACCGTAACTCAGTACCAATTCAATAAAATTCAATTTATAACCAAATGCACATTGCATATAGGCATAAAGAAATATACATATTGATCAATACTTCACAAATTGGCAATAGTATGAATGTATGATTGTAATATAATACTATAAATAGCTGAATAATAACACATATATATATTATGTCATATTAACACCATCATGGAGAAGATTGATATAGGCCTATTTGTAATCTTATCCATTTATATTTATATTAATATATATATAATAAAATTTGTGAAAATGAAATGCGATTATACACTTTTGTTGAATAAAAAACATAGATCACAATCTCATTATACAGTAACAAGACGCTTATAGCAAGACTTTGATATAGCTTGTATATCCATAATTTACGACTGTTTCCGAGGCACTGCATTATATGCGTGTGCAATCTGTATAAGACAGTTTATCGTTTTACGCTCTAAGTAAGTATTTATAAGACAGTTTATCGTTTTACGCTCTAAGTAAGTATTTGATAATAGTATAGTCAAATCACAGTTTTTCAGTTATTGTATGAAAATTACAGTTTTCAATTATTGTATAAAAAATACAGTTTTCAATTATTGTATAAGGCAGTTTATCAATCTTGTTACTCTCTTGGTAAGTATTTGATTACAGTTTCGATTGTACAGAAAATAACCTATTGTTGTATTTCAGGGTTTTAGTATCAAGAATCAGAATTTACTTCTTATCAACCGATACGTTGTAAACAGATTATTGAAATATATCAGTCTTTATGTGATCATAATAGTCGCTTAACTATAAATTGTGTGTATGTGTATATATATATATTACTATTTAACTCATTTATATATTTGATACAAGTGTTTTTTTGTTAGCTAGTAATACATTTGATATAAGGTTTCTTTGTTAACTAGTAATATATTTGATGTAAGGTTTCTTTGTTAGCTAGTAATATATTTAACTCCGTCGTTTATCGGTCGATATAAGGGTCTTTTTATTAGCTAGTAATATATTTGATATAAAGTTTCTTTGTTAACTAGTAATATATTTGATATAAGCTTTCTTTGTTAGCTAGTAATATATTTGATATAAGGTTTCTTTGTTAACTAGTAATATATTTAACTCCGTCGTGTATCGGTCGATATACGTTTTTTTTGTTAGCTAGTAATATATTTGATATAAAGTTTCTTTGTAACTCCGTCGTTTATCGGTCGATATAAGTAGTTTTTTTGTTAGCTAGTAATATATTTGATATAAGGTTTCTTTGTTAACAAGTAATGCATTTGATATAAGGTTTCTTTGTTAGCGAGTGATATATTTGATATAAAGTTTCTTTGTTAACAAGTAATATATTTGATATAAGGTTTCTTTGTTAGCTAGTGATATATTTAACTCCGTCGTGTATCGGTCGATGTAAGTTTTTTTTGTTAGCTAGTAATATATTTGATATAAAGTTTCTTTGTTAGCTAGTAATATATTTAACTCCGTCGTGTATCGGGCGATGTAAGTTTTTTTTGTTAGCTATTAATATATTTGATATAAGGTCTCTTTGTTAGCTAGTGATATATTTAACTTGTTTATTTTCTCTGTCGTTTTTCCTCATCATGCCCAATATGTATCCCTGCGGTATTTGTGCAAAAACTGCAGTGATGCTAAAAATGTAGCTTGTAAACATTGTGACAATAAACACCTATAAATTCAAAAACAAAACACAAATATAAACCGTTAATTACCTAAAAGCAGGAATCTCCTACTCTGTGCATCACTACTGTATTATATAAAATAAATAAATCCAGATAATTATTGTTTTCAATCTTTCGATTTCAAAATAATCTTTCATTATTAATTACATATTATGATATGTACTTATAATTTAATCAATGGATTAACAAATAGTTCAGTAATCTGTATAACGTTATTTTTTAAACAATTAACTATTTCAATTGTTCGTAAATTGAGAATTTAATTTGATCAAATGATTATCATTTTATATAAAATTAACTGGGATCAAATTTATGTAAATGTTAACCATTATTATTAATTATGTACAACAAACTAATTAAACAAAAAATACGATTTTAATATATATATTAGAACATAAAATTAGAGACAGAAATAATGCATACAAAAATATTGAAAACATAATGTAATTGTTTGAAATTAATTGCAATTAGTTAAAAATTAAATCATAAAATAAAATAAAATGGGCTCTTATATAAAACTGCGTCCTCGTGACTAATAGTTCTACAGTTAGGTCCGTACGAGTTACTTCCCTTAAGTAATGCCTGTTGTGAAATAGTTCGCATATTTTTATCAGAATATTTCTTATATTTCGGTACATTCTACTGTTATGATCGACCTGATACTTTGCACACTGTTTGGTAAATGGAAAATCTTTATGAATCCGAAAACAGAAGTAAAAAATATTGATTAACGAATTCTTGGGCGCGCGAAAACCTCCCTGGACACTCATCCTCCGTGGACACTCAATCCACCCTCTTGAAAATAGTATTTATTGACGTATTTCGGTACTTTCTACTGTTATGACCGACTTGAAATTTGCATACACCTAGATAAGTGAACAATATTTAAGAATCAGAAGAAAAAAGTGAAAAAAATATAATAACGAAAAACCTCCGAGTACACTCATTACTCCGAGGACACTCATTAGGGTGACCCGATCGGGATATAAATCTAGGGCAAGTCGTATCTTCAGGAGGGAATTACATTTCATTGAACCTATGACCCTCGTTTTGTCAGTCCGTATAGGTGGCTATCGGGAAATGAAGTTAAATGTTGTTACAGTGACAAAGAACTTGTAAATCTAATGTATATTGATGTGAGTGAATAAACTATTCAAATAATAATTGAGTTTATAATTAGTTGCAGAAATTACCTGGTACATGTATGTGATTTTTGATTCCTGCTTTTTAAATTTGCAATATCTATACATGTATAGGTGTATATAGTTGTTAGTTAAAATTTTGCATTTAAAACATAAATAACATTCATACATATATACCTGACCAAACATTTTGTTTTCAAGAGCATGTACTTATATGGCTGAGAAATTAAATATGATATATATTTTACAATATTATTGGTTTTGGTTGAAAGGGTATCATAGTCAAGTTCTTCAAAGTAGCTCTGAGCTGTTCATCATTTAGCTGTATATTCAAAAATACCATCTTTTTAATTTTACATTATTTGCAGAACATATAACTCTGTGCGGTTTAGAGATGAAGGAAAGGTTGCACATCCGTGTCAGATTCCCTCAAATGGTGCACCTTTCATGATAGTTGTTCTAAAGCTGATGGAATGTCATCAAGGACCGCAATATAGGACCAAAAATCAAAAGTAAGACTTTCCTCATTACAAATATAAAATTGTATCTGTTACAATAAGATGAACTAAATTTTATCATAGTTTTGTAACGGGCAAAAGTATTTTATAATAACAGAAAATAAAATCTTGTGATCTCCACAAGGAAGATTAAACTAACAAATCTCAGTATATCAGTTGATGCTTACAACTCAGGTAATCTCATTTTAATAATTGTTTGTTTTTTTACAGGACACCAGTCACTCCACAACAGAACATGGCTATAGCTTAGCATCAAGCAGGAAGAGGCCGACAGGCACAAAGAAAAAAGGATGTCCTGCGGCCATAGTAATGAGGGAAGTCATTCACTTTGATGAGTACAAGGTACAAAAATGAGTTTTTAGCTATAAAGTCTGATATGGAAATAAATATGTGGTTTTCCCTATTTTCTAATAAAAATGAGTTATTAAATGTGATTGATGTACTCTATGTGATATTTATTAATCTCATGAGATACTTTGATATGTCTTTCGATTAAAGAGTTTTTATGCAATATAAATATATATAATATTTATGAATATACAAATCCTGTGAAGTCTATTAACATTATTATGATGATGAATAATTATTGAACTTGTTCAATAAATTCCATATGACACTTAGTCATGTGCGATCTTCAGAAGATTAGTCATAAGAAATAAATAATAACATGAAAATATTTTATTTTATTATAAGTATACATTTTTCCTTTAAATGATATAAGGTTCCACATGACACACGATATTGGCGAGAAGTGAAGTCAATGAAACTTAGAAACGACCTTCATTCTACAGTCTATCAGCAGGTAGAACAGCGGAAAGTCATTTATATTGATCTGCCAAAGGAACATCAAAATCATACTGGGAATTGTAAGTCTATAACATGACAAAGTTAAGTGATATACATGCAGACACGGAGGTCTTCCTTTATTTGACCTCAGCTGTTAATAGGCCGTTAAACAAAATAAAACCAAACCTTTAAATAACATTGCATGTTGTGAACAACAACAGAAACAATAAGATACTCCCCTTCATTTGTGTTAATGTAGATTTTAACTACAATGTATCTACTATAATTTGTGTATGGATATGCAATACAACCATATATACATCCCGCAGCATCATGTTCTGGTTCTATCTGTTGTCATTCCAATATTACAACAGATACAACCAGATATACACTATCAAACCTCATATTCTGGTTATAGCTGTTGTCATTCCAATATCACAACAGATACAACCAGATTTACACCATCCAACCTCATATTCTGGTTATATCTGTTGTCCTTCCAATATTACAACAGATACAACCAGATGTACACCATTCAACCTCATATTCTGGTTCTATCTGTTGTCAATCCAATATTACAACAGATACAACCAGATATACACTATCTTACCTCATATTCTGGTGATATCTGTTGTCATTCCAATATTACAACAGATACAACCAGATATACACTATCCAACCTCATATTCTGGTGATATCTGTTGTCATTCCAATATTACAACAGATACAACCAGATATACACTATCTAACCTCATATTCTGGTGATATCTGTTGTCATTCCAATATTACAACAGATACAACCAGATATACACTATCCAACCTCATATTCTGGTTCTATCTGTTGTCATTCCAATATTACAACAGATACAACCAGATATACACCATCCAACCTCATATTCTGGTTATATATGTTGTCATTCCAATATAACAACAGATACAACCAGATTTACACCATGCAACCTCATATTCTAGTTCTATCTATTGTCATTCCAATATTACAACAGATACAACCAGATTTACACCATTCAACCTCATATTCTGGTTATATCTGTTGTCATTTCAATATTACAACAAATACAACCAGATATACACTATCTAACCTCATATTCTGGTTATATCTGTTGTCATTTTAATATTACAACAGATACAACCAGATATAAACTATCTAACCTCATATTCTGGTTATATCTGTTGTCATTCCAATATTACAACAGATACAACCAGATATACACTATCCAGCCTCATATTCTGGTTCTATCTGTTGTCATTCCAATATTACAACAGATACAAACATATATACACCATCCAACCTCATAATCTGGTTCTATCTGTAATTGTCATTCTAATATTACAACAGATACAACCACATTTACACTCTCCAACTTATGTTAATCATGAAATCATATCCTTATGCTCACAGGAGCTATAAGCATTATCAACGTTTAAAACTATTGGGCATTGCAATGATAATAGATTCATTCAGAATCAAAGTAAAAATTAGATAAAATATACGAAATCCAAACATCATTCAATCTGAGTACCTCTACTTTTATAATCATCTAAAAATTAGACTGAAATTCATGACAGTTTTGGTTACAAGGTTTGATTCATGGTTCCTTAGTCAAGTCAAATCTGTTATTATTTTTATAACTTATGTTGCAGGCTGCTGATTTGAAATCTCCGATTGATGAACGGATTCTGAAGAAGATCAGGGGGCTTGTCGATGAAGGAGTGTACACAGTCCCAAAGAAATGCATCGACACTTAAAGATATTTATAAAAGATCTCTTCAGAGACCAGGAGATGCCAAGGGTCATCAATCCGAGCAAAGAAGATCTCAGAAAAAATATATACCGGCAGAGGCGCAAAACTCTGCACAGCTTGATAGACCAGGAAGACCTGGCAGAGAAAATAGGGTGTGGCGGGAGGAACGTCCATATGACATGTGGACTTTTCGTAAGTCATCATTTGTGAAGCGTCCTGTTAGAGAAGATGACTTTGAAGAGGAAGATGGCTGCTTCACTGTAAATGAAGATCAGTATCTCCTCGTGGTTTACCAGTCTTCATGGCAGAGTAGATTGCTCTCAAGATACGAATAGGAACTTGTGTATCTGGATGCCACATACAGAACCACAAAGTATGCTTTGCCATTGTTCTTTCTGTGTGTGCAGACCAATGACGGCTTCTGTGTTGTAGGTGCATTCATCACAGAGAAAGAACATTCCATATCTGTGGCCGAAGCTCTACAAGTCATCAAAGATAACAACCCAAACTGGACTTGTAGAGGCTTCATGATAGATTCCTCTGAAGTAGAAGCGAATGCAATACGGAGTGTTTTCCCAGGTAAGTTTTATGTTGATCTTGACTGAAAACAACCTGCTTTTAACTCATGAACGTTTATGTGACCTATATGTGGTTCCCAACTTCCATAGCAGGCAGGGGAATGATGAAAAAAGGACAATTTGGCTGTTCGGTTTTCAAATAGACTACCAGATATTCAAAAGTTGTTGGAAAATGTTTACTAATTTTGGTATCACCAGAAAAGCCAAATAACATACATATATAATTCTCATAATATGTCATTTGCGGCATATACTCCTACCAAATTTAGATGGCATTCATAGACAGTATAAGTGCCAACTGGATTAAGACAAAATCAACAATAAGTGCATGTTTCATGAATTTGCCTTTGTCCAGTTGGCATTCAAATTGCCAATGAATGCCAACTGAAAGCAGTTCAGTGCTGAAATGTACCTACCTATATACTTAAACTATTTTTTAATATATTACAGAGTCAAACATCTTCATATGTGACTTCCACAGAAAACAAGCCTGGCACAGATGATTGATTGCATCAAAGCATGATGCGACAAGACAGGATCAGACTTCTGAATTACTAAATGTAAATAGATGCATGATATGATCATCAATCAATTCTATATGCCGATATCCTTGATAATAAAGAGAAGAGTTCAGGGTCAATCTAGTTTCTTTTCTGGTCTGAATATTCATTGTTAAGTATAAATATGTTAATACTAGGTCACATAATATAACAAAAAGAGTTTTCAAATTTCATACCTATAAGTAACGATTTACTCATATCAATATAAATTTTGATATCTATACAACAAAATGTTTATTTGAAAATTAAATGTTGCAGGCTGTGGCAGAGTCATTTACTGAAGCCGAGTTTAACAAAAAATTGAACCAGCATCATGAGAGTGAAGTATGGAAGAGCCAGCCTAAGCGTCGTCAATACATCAATGGGCAATGGCTAGCGAATGACAAACACACGGTAATGTGAAGAGATTAAAAGCACAGAGGTGTATTTTGTACAGTAAATGTGGGACACTTAACACATGACGTAACATTTATTATGTCAATTGAGTGTTATGTGAACCATATCTGATGTTCTCTTTCTACAAATTTTATGTGTTACTCTTTTTCCATTTGTGTGTCCATAATTTCACATGTCTATGCAGAAGTGTTTTGCTCAAGTCAGTTCTAAATACCATGATGAGTACTGCAGGTTGGAGGGGTTTCAGATGATCTTTGACTTTTATCTTGAGTCAGTGAGCATGGTTAAGAAAATAAATGCAGGCCATCTTGTCTTATATACAGAAACATTTATGGTTTGTCAATATTTCAGTATTTTATTCTAATTTCATTTTATTTTGAAGATGTGGGTCTGGGCCTACCGGGACAACGGACATACTCTGGTGGTCAACACCAACAATGGTGTAGAGGCACATAACAAGGTATTCAAGTATGAAGACTGTCTCGAGTTTGATGACCCTTCTTGTAGAGGATTTCTTTGTGGAATCCTATCGCAAGTATGTGATAATATGATATAACTTTTATATATCACTTTAGTACAAATAAAAAATTATAAAATGAAATAGCATAAATATTTAACATTTAAATTTACAATTATGCTCTCAGTGAGAACAGTTTCAAGTTAAAAAAAACCCTGCTTACTGGATGGATTTTGAAAAAAAGCACAATTTTGTTTGTCTTAATTTGTGTAGCTCTATCAAAAACAATTAATGAAAATCATTAGCTAGTCACTGGATTGTGTTTTATTGTTTCATTGTTTTATTATAAAATTGAAAATATCATATAACCTTCTTCACATATAGTCATAAATGTTTAAAATTTCAGTATTTTTCATTGTTTTGGTAAGTAATTAGGAGTATTGTGTCAATATTGTTTGGCTTGGTGTCAGCTTTGCTTTAATTGGTGTCTGGTTTGATGTATAATCTCTTTTCACATTTTCCCTTTTCATCACTGTACAATTTTGTTCTACAACAGAGTGCTGCATATCCCAATTTCACATGTATCAAACTAAGTTTGTGAACCTCATTCATGCCCCAAGCATAATGCATGGTTATGAGTGTATGTGTATGGCCAAACAACCAAACCGATTACCTGTATCCCATAAGGTTTGGATATGCGGCACTCTAGTAAATAATTAATCCTTTAGTATCATTTTACTATCCTTTATCACCATTCATGTATAAGGCCATAATAAATTAATTGCTAGATTCTCATCCAAATTCTTTTCAAAATTGGGGCGGGGGGGGGCGAATTTTATTTTTTATTTTTCCTAAAATTTAAAATGGTTGCAAATGTGTTAAAATAGTGCAATAAAGGCGCATGTTCAGTGTACATTTATCTTTATTTTTTGTTAATAGCAACGTATGCAGTATACACATTGAACACCATTTCACTGTTCAGTCCACATATATATCTGTACTAACTTTTGGTATGAATACACACCACATTACTTTTTCACATATCGTCCTCTTTTAATTACAGTGACCTTGCCATTGGCCAAACAGTTCTGGCATATGGGGTAGTTTTCCTCAGATGTAGCCACATTGTCATCTGTGCCACAATGGAAGCATACTGCTTCGAAACCAGCAGAGAAATAGGCTAGTTCAACTGGCCCATCACATGTCAGATTTTTTCTTACAAACACTGATTTTAACACATTTTCTTGTTCGGTTTCTACATCAGCAAAATCAGAACCACACGTGTACGACAAATCGCCCAACATAGTTTGCAATTCCTTTCTTTTCTTTCCTATTACAACATGCTTGCAGTAGAGAACACGAGGCTTGTCACATTCAGAACAGTATATCACCATTTCAACATTTTTAGCAGTTTGGGCGGAGGGTGAGAATTGCATACCATGCCCAGGACCTGGCTTGTGTCCTAGTGAGGGCCTGTGCTTTTCACTAGTTTCGTGGCCATATAACTGATCAAAGGACTTGTACTTGTCACCACTAAAGTATCAGGTTTTGGGTCTTGCAGAAAGTGAAGACCTTCAAAAGTATCTGCAGGTAAGTTTGGTCGTTTACAAATAGTGCAGGTTGCCTTCCCACACTTTTTGACACAGAACATTTAAAGCTCCGAGGTACGACACCACTTCCCCCACTGTACATGCGCCATCACACTGGGTCAGTTCCACTTTCGATTTACCGGCCGACGCAACGGGGATGATAATCTAGCAAATAATTTATTATGGCCTAATATCAACTCACCAAACATCTACATTATGCTTTTATAAACTTCCTTTCACAACATGAAACTTTCCTTATTTCCATTGATAAATAATATAATCCAGTTTTTCTATTGTAGTTCTTTTTAGCAAAGTTGGTAATGGCTTTTTGAAAATGTTTTTTAAAATACAGTAGTGCTCCAAAGGAAAAAGCAATATAGAATTTTCAATTATTTAGTATAAAACAATGAAAGCCAAAAAACAAAATCAAAAAAGAAGAAAACAGATGGATAACATGCTATTTGTGTTATGTGTATATTAATGAAATGTCATGTGGCCAAAGATCATATATTATGTATCTATAATTACTCATTTTTATGTTGTGACTGTCATTACTTTTGAATTGGTATATCGTGTCACAGTGTGCTTGCTTTGATATTTTGGTGGTGAACTATTGCTGTCATTTTTTTTGTCCTGTGACCCTGAACTAATATAACAAGAGTTTAACCAGAAAGTAACGAAGGCAATTATTGAACTGATTTTTGAAGTTTACGCATGTGATCCTGCCCATTTGTTAGGCCAATATTGTGTATTTATTACCAATCAATAATCCTACTTAGGCATGGTAAGTCTGTTAGCCTGCAGCAGTTTCAAGCTGAACACTACAGAGCTTTACTGCCAAGGTATATAATTTGAATTCATAGACACATGATCACTCTAGCTAAATGTAGTGAAGCATACTTGTCACACCTCCATATTTTAGGGGAGAGTTCTCCAATCTTGACATCTTGAAAAATCTTGAATCCAACTTTTCAATCCATATTGTCAATTTGCATTCTACATAATTCTTAAAATTTGCTTCCATATTGAAATATAGTTTGTTCATGTAAATAAAAGACCTTCTCCAGATACCTTTAAAGCAATGTGACAATGTCAGCTGGTTGGAGAGAGCCATCAGTGTACATTCCTAAGGAGCTCCACCACCGACCCAGGTACTTTGTACAGCACATCAGGGAAGCCACAGGGAGATGTTCGGACATCACTCCAAGCATGGTAACCATGGTGACAGATACATAGTTTCTAGTACAGTCAACTAACCGTGCGTCACATGTCTACCGTGTCAAATTGGGTGATGAATCCAGCCACAACATGCCATCTTGTGAGTGTAGGGAATTCATGAAAACTCATCTTCCTTGCAAACATTTCTGTGCTTTGATGTGCCATTTTGCAGATGCCATCACTTGGAATTCCTTGCCAGGATTCTACTTAAACAATCCTCATTTCATCATTGATGAGGATTGTGTGAACCTCACAAAATTCCAAGTCATGCCTCAAGCAGATGACAGCGATATTACATCAGCTCCTTGTCATGCTGGAGAGGACAAATTAGACCCAAAGCTGCCTCATGGGCCTACACTAGAAGAGCTTTTGCAGTATATCCGCAACCTGTCATACATTGCGGATTCTGTGGAGGTGATAGAAGAGGTCAAGAAGCAGCTGTCATTAACAGCTGATAGACTGCGACAAAGTTGTCCGGCTAGTGGGACCTTGCTTTTGGAACAGCCAGTCAAAAAACCTACACCTGTCAAGATCATTTCCAAGAAGCGGAAATCTCCCAGCACCCAGACATCTTTAAAACAACTGCCAACAAGGGCTAAGAGAAGACGTACGATCAAACGTTAGTAGATATAAAAAACTGATTTTAGGCAATATATATGAAAGAAGATAGTTATTGATGTTTGTACCTTTATTACGAATCAGTAATTTACAGATATGATTTCTTTTTCCTCAGTTCAAATACAAATAGTTAAAATTACATATAGATTAAATGTTGGAAATAAATGCAAATGTGATGAGATTTGCCTTTGAACATTATGGTGACCTAACTATGAAGGGCAGCAAGAGAAAAACAATCAGTTCATTTGATTTGTTATCCCATGCGATGTTATCTAACGTAATATATGCTTCTCCCAAGTCTCCCTATATTTACATTTGGCAAAAAACAAAATATATGCCATTCCATTATTTTTCAGAAAAAACATACATCATAGATGAAGCGGGTTCTTCGGAAAAAGTACAGAACAAAACATCCAGTATGTATGATTATTGCATGCTGCCATTAAGAGCCAAAAAGAGTGAATAATAAAGCTGATACAACTTGTTTCCTAATTGTTGTAACAAAACCCAAGTTCAAAGATATGCTCACATTCATGGAGAGTATAGGGATCTTCTTATAGGATCAAGAAAAAGGTCCCCAATTCGCCATTTATACACATAGTATTTTTATCACTTTCAATCAACAGGGTATTTGTATCATCTGAATATGGTGTTTCAACAGAAAATAACATGCTAATTTATGATATATTTATTCAGTCATTGGCCTTTTTTCAGAACCTGCAAAGTACGCCACTTCCAGGTCTGAAGTTTGAGGAAGAATTCAAGGTTAGTGAATATATAAAGATAAACATGGTCTTATTTTTGTTTTGGGTTTGTTGATAGGTAGTGTGTCCCACCACTTTAATGGACTTGTTTTTGTGAAAAGGAAACATACTTTAAGGAAAGCTTAATATTTAATCAAAGCACAACACTGGGACTCTCTATATTAATGTGACCACTGTTATGTGTGTTTGCTTATTGATGATGTGATTGTGTGAATGAACAAGTGGCGTCAAAGACAGCCTGACTTCAAACCTGGTAATCTGGCGTCATTCTTTCCTGACATCATTTTGATTGTTCAGGCCATTCAGTACAAATATAACATTAATACAGGGTAATGATGAGCAATGTTTTGCAGAAGATATAACTATAATGCTTAAATTTTGCTCTGACAAAATACTGCATAAAATATAACCATATAACCATATGTGCAATATAAAACATCAGATATAGGCTTATGTGTGGTATTGTCCATGTGGTGTTTTCTTTATTATAATGGAAATCTAAATTGATTACCAACAGTCTGACTAGGGACATGTCAAAGGAAAACTGGATGGAAGTGCTTGAGAAAGCAAAACAGACCTCTGGCTTTTCCTTTGACAACATCAATAGGACAGCCTTTGCTGTGCTAGATGAATGCTGCGATGAAGAAGAACATGACAACCTTCTTCGGGAGATTTCAGACCTGGCTCCAGCAGGGTTAAACATGTATGCAAGATTGCAACTGTCTGTTCTACTGCTGTGTTTATTGGGTAGGTCTGAAAATTGATGATATGTATTATTAAACAAACAGTTAAGAGATGATGTTAATTTGCATATCTTTGTGTACCAAAGGCAATACAGTGTATTGGGGTGAAAGGTTTGGACAATTGGTCTAGCTCTTGAGACATTTTATGAAAGAAATAATGAATAAGATGTTTTTCATACATCATTCCATCTTCTTCCTCAGCTATGGCATGGAAAACTATTGGTATATTCTTGTTTTACTTTTTATTTTCAGTCAAACAAGACGGGTTTGACTTGAAGAGAAACCTACATAAGGAAAGTGAGGAGGCTGCAGCTACGTTTCGGGCAATGATAGAATCACTGAAAGCAATTCATAAGTTACATTCAGGTAATTTTCAAAATTAAAATCATTAAAAAGGTATTTCTTTTAAGACATGAAAGATAACATTTCTATGCTTATAGCCACTGTTGTAGCCTTCATACCTTTTTTATCTATTCAACCCTTTGGATGAGATTCTTGAATTACTACTGCATTGGTATAAAAACACAAAACCAGTTATGAATTCATCTCATAAAATT